GTCTCACATTCCCCACAAAATATGCTATGAAATCCACATATATATTTAGGCATTGAGTTATTATTTAGTCCTAATTATTAGACAGAAAGAATGGTTTTTAGCTGAATCATGGAGCCACCAAAACAAGATTTCTTAGAACTGAAGGGCAGCCTTTAACAGACGGTGGCAAAATCGCACAATGCGGCCGACAGAGCTGCTCTCGCCTTGCCGACAGGCTTAGCAGCCATACAACTGCGTTCCTCCTCAAAAGACATCTTCCAAAACTGCTGCTAATTTTATAACAGAAAAATCATTCTTACTTATCAAATAAATAACTTAAGAGCTTATGGCATAGAAAGGAAAGATACAACAATTTTGCTCCCCCCAGGATCCCAGCGGGGCCGTGGGCTTCTGGACTTGTAAGGACCAGAATTTGTTCGCTGCAGAAGACACACACGCACACTTCTATCACAAACAGGCATCGGGCAAAACCGTGTTTAAGAATGACAGCTTCCCTGTGAGCTGGGTAAGTCTACCCAGGGAATGTCAAGCCTTTTAATTTTTAAATCTTCCCTCCCTCTTTTACTGAAACTGCTTGGGGAGATACATAAATGCACGACAGAAAGATTACCGCTTCTCCTGAAAACATCCTGCTAAGCAAATTCTTCCATGTAAACGTTTAAAAATTTTCCCCTTGGAGCCTTGGTCTGACAAGACCTTCCTGTGTATCGTCATCTTGAGCAAACGGAGCTCCCTGCGCGGGAGCACAAAAGGGGCACAGACGTCGAGGTGCCCCAGCGCGGGTGACACTGGGGTTTCCCACCGTGATAACAGGCGAAGGCGCCAGCCCCAGCGTCAGACAGGCAGGACGGGAGGGAGAGTCTGCGGCACAACGGTTTGGGTGACGCGGAAAGCAGATAACGGGGCAGACAGCAGGACAGAGTGGGCGAAGACTGAGGAAACACAGGAATATGGTTCCTCCCTTGGAGCCCCAGCAGAAACTGGTGCCACCACCAGCGCACCTGTGGAAGACACCAAGCGGCACAGATGGCTGCAGATGCCAAAGAGGAGAGATTTGGGGTGAAGAGGAACCTCTTCCTACACAGTAACTGGTATTACAAAGCCCTCGTCTCCGGCAGGGGACTGTCTCATGAGATAAGTGCAAAGAGAGGTGATGGCAATAGTGGAAAATGGGAGTGGAGGTGAAGTGATGTCAGTTAGTATTAATAATTTCAGGTTCTTACTGCCTAGGGAACTGCATACTTTTAGCTAAAAGCATTGCTTATATTTGAGAAGTAAAGTCTCCATCACAGTTATGGTTTTTTTTCTCTGTTAATTCCTTCATGAGATTAATGACCGCCCTTTTACTTGCCACAATATAAATCAACACCTGGTAATAGGTTCTGTGCACGGGTAGAAGTAATTGTAGATAAAAGGAAAATGTTCTCGCCAGAGAATCTGAAATGATATACTGACAGTGACGAATGAGAAACTCGGCTGAGACTGATCCACAATCCTACGACAATGACTGAGAGTGCAAAGTCAAACAAACTTCATCAACATCAGGGATGAATAAATTAGGAGAGTGAAATTTGCTACCCCCCAAAAAAATGCGGCAGTACCTAAAATGTTATTATGTAAGTCTACATAAATGCTCCTATTTTAGGATCACCTGCAGAAACATGAGAAATCCCAGCTCCCGACGGCCTGTGCCCATCAGGAGAAATCCTCTGACGTAAGAACAGCTATACAATGCATGCAGGTCAAACGCGAACACCTTTGGTGGAGATAGGCTGGGTATGCACACGCGACAGACCTGTCCCTGCCCAGCCCTCGCACCACTCCGTGAATACAACCCCCCCGCCGTACGCCCGCTGCTTGCCCCCCCAGGCAACCTTCTTTTCTGTCGCTTTTTAACAGATTTTACTCTGACCTAGTTTTGCTTCTGTGACTAACCTCAGCTTTCAATATAGCACCTTGATTATTCTAAGTATCTCTAGCTAATTTTGTACTTCATTTAGGTTCGCTATTTCACTGATTTTTGACCATACAATTAAACATGAGGCGCCTACTGTAGACTTCAGCGCTGATCACTACCGCAGCGCCTGGGCCAGGCAGGAGGGCAGGGGGGAGCGAAGGAGAGAGGGAGGCAGGAGGAGAGAGGCTACCAAAGACGTTTGAAACGTCCTTGGTTTGCTGACTTCCTTCATATAACTGATTAAAACACAGTTAATCTCTTACCCTTGATCAGTATGAATGGCTTAAAAAACTTCTGTAGCCTTTCAGACAACTATAATGAATCTCTTCCTTCTGTCAAAAGTAATACTATTTGCTGCCGGGGTAACACATTTTCCAGGCTTAACGAAAAAAAACACAAACAACTTTGCAGGACATGGTAGAAAACCCTCTTCTACATGGACAGCTGTTATGTCCTGTGAATGAGGAATTTTTGAAAGGTATGTTCAGGAATAGCCTGTCTTTCTATTTAAAAAGTACACTGCGATACAGAAAGTATTTGTTACAGAAATTAAAAAGAAAACAAAAGGCTGAGATTTCTCTGCAAATTATGCAGATGCGGCCATGATCCAGTAATGGATCCAGTAGCAGCTGTTTTTCATGCGAGTGCGTTCAAAAATGCTGAGGCAGCGAAAAAGAGGCAAAAATATTGCCAGTTACAATTGTGTCAAAAAATGTGACTATATAGCTCCTTACGCCAGCGTCACATTAGCTGCAAAGATGAAAATTATCAACGTGTCTTGCTTTGTCATACAGCTATGCTTGTGAAACTGCCTGTAAAGCCCCTTTCTCCCTGCACCTCCTTGCACGGTTAGTGTGGAAAAGCTGGACATGACGTAAGGACTACTTTTATTTTAGTAGTTTAAATTGTGTCACCCAGATCATTCCTGTGACGGACTGTAAGCGGTAACCCTTTCCTGCGGTGCCATTGCCTGCCAGAAGGCTGGTGCTGCCATCCGTGTGCCTTATTCAGCATCCCTGGGGAGGGAGCAGACTGCTTGGCAAAGGGGAGGACAGTCCGGCTCCTTGCTGGGCGATAGCCCCTCTGCTCTCCGGGGGCTCCCTGCCTTTAATTCAGCTCCCCGCGAGTGGCAGGGGGGTTGTCGGACAGCACAGCCCACTGCCTCTTTTCCACATCCCCAGTTTGTTTTCAAATGGCTTTATTCCTTCCCCCTGAGAGCAGCTGTCAAACGTACGGCGAGTGACCCTCTGTTATAAATCAGTATTAAAAGCACCATCGTAACAAAACTGGCAGTTAACTTGTATGGAAACCTGTATCATTGTACTTCTAAGATGCAAAGACTCAGTTTGGTTACAAAGCAGTTAAATCATCCGTACCTGGAGGATCTTATCGCCAGGCTGGAGCAGGCTGGATGCTGGTCCGTCAGGCTGAACCCTAGTAACAAAGATACCCTATAAGTCAGAAGTAACAGAGGTTAGGATGCTATCACCAAGAACTACTTCCCAAAATACAGGTGTCTCCCTAACTGGTGTCTGGGGCCTTTATATACTCTGGCAACAGTCTAAATACTAAACTCTTTTTTTTGATCTGTTTGTAATCAAGCAGTAGTACAGGTTTGTAGCAGCTCTCCACGACCTTCAGCTAGTTACCGCCTGATACAAATATAATTGTGGGTCATTTGAAACTTAAGATTCCACATCACAAAATAATGTCCAATTTGAGTAGGGCAAGAGTAACAGGGTTATCAGGATAATTAAAGTGGAGCAAGCATTAATTTATTAGAATAATGCATGCCATAATCTATACAGTAATCTTTGTTTACTTCCTCCAGGAAAAAAAAGTTTAAAAGAATTTCTAAAAAGCAGTCATGATATTCAGCCCTTGAGATATTCAGTACAATGGTCTGTAGGACCGTCACTTAACCCAGTGTCTGCGGAGTGAATGACTTTGAAAGGGGAAAAATTACTACGTAATAAAGGATATTTTTAGATTTGTTTTCAGAATTTCAGTAAAGTATGTTAATAAAACCCAAAATCAAAGATTGAGTTCCTCGATGATGAACACATTTGAAATATTTCCCACACTGGTCATGCAGCCCCGTACTGCTGTGCCCACCCTGCTGCCGAGGGTGAACACCTTTAAGCAGAGTCCAGAACTGAGCATCGGTTGCGTTTTAGCCATTCACATTGCTCTCAGAGAGACCAGAGAAATTCCCTGCTTGGTATCAGCATGCAAATCATCTGCGTCCTTGAGGGATTTTATAGCCTTCTGGAGCTAGGTACTGCCAGGATTTCTGTTCACCTTATAAAAACCTGAGCTCCTCGGGAGCAGAGTGATGGACTGCTTATATTTCAGCTATGTGCCATTAACTGGTGACACGAGTCTGCCATTCAAAATGACCGATTGCTTGTGTGTATTTTACTGCTTTTCCTGTCCTTTCGCCGCAGTACCATCAGCGTGGCAGGGCAGAGGGCTATCACTATGCAGAACAGTGCTCGCTGCCGTCCCCACTGATTTCATCTTGCAGACAGAATAGTACCGTATGCGTGACTTAAAACCGTATCGCAAATGACTGGCAGGTACGATGAGAGACAGTAGCACCCTCTGATCGCTTCTGTGATATTTAAAACATGATAAATCTGATTTAACGGTGTGGGAAGCAAGGTTTCAGAGTGACAACACATTAAAAAAACCTTTTAACTATTAATTCCTTCAATATAACTGCCCTATCACTCCCTTACTACACAATTTTGCGTTTCTGTTATTGGTAAAATGAAATCTATACCCCGCTGTTGTTGCACTGCATGTATTACTGGTGCAGACACATTCATAGCAGGGTACAGACTCTTCTTTACTAATTTCAGGCAAGTGATAGACAGTGGAAGTATAGCTGAATTCTAACATAGTACATTAAACTGTGGAAAAAAAGACCATGATGTTATAAAGTGTAATTCTAGTGTGCAGTCTCAAAGAAGGACACCAAAAAAAAAGTACGTTTTAAGGGATAGTTGTTAAAATGCCTGATAGTTATGTACATTAAATGGAACTGTTCTTGATGTTCAAAACAGGGATTATCAGTGAGAAAACTGAAAGGAATTAGGATTGTGTTAGACTGATATTTCTAAGCGTATTTTATCTTTCCAAGTAGCTTTCTGTTGTAATTCAGAGTGGTGGAGAAATTATTTTTTTAATTTGCACATAGATCTCAAATTTTTGGGAAGCGATGACAAGACAGTTTTAATTTCATCATTTGCCAAACATTCTCAATATTTATGGAAGTTATGACTGCCTCTTAAAACTGAATCTAATATTATCAAAGAATATAAACTATAAGAATATGTTTAACAGTGAGGTACCCATACTACTTGCTTTTCAACAAACTCCAGTCAGTTTTACTGCACAGAACAGCTGAACTCACAGGTCTAAGAGTCTGTTTCCTAGTCCTAAAGCCCTGTGTAGCTGATAATCACCAGATGTGGTATTTTTACGAGGCTTCTTTTTACTGTAAAGAGATTTATCAACCTCTTAAATGTGTTGTTCCCAGAATGAACACTGAGTCTCCCTGACCATCGTATACCACAAGGGTGACATTTTTAATTTGCAGTACAGAACAGAAGACTGCTTGCCATGGTGTTTGTAAGGCACCAATGCTCTCCAGACCAGTTTGCAGACCAGGCCGATTTTATTCGATGCAGCTGCTATAAACCCTGGCATTTCAGCTACCTAGTGATGCTATTACTCATTTAGTATTCCCTCTCATGACTTTAGAGAAAGTTGAATCAGGGCCTATATTGACTCTTCAAAGGAAAAAGTGAGAGACACGATTCTCCAGAAAACAGCCTGAGAAGTTATCTCATACATGGAATATAAGGCAGACATCCATGTGATTTCTGTTTGGATTCTTTCGTCTTCATTAACGAGGGGAAAAAAGCAAACACCACTCCCTTAACAAAAAAAAAGCCAAGTATGTGAAAAATTCTTTCAATTATCACAACAGTGCATAAAACTTTCACTCATGTTACCTACGTCTCCACTATATGGCACTCTAAAATAAAGGCCATTTAGAGTAGGAAATTTACAACTTACCTTATCAGAAGGTTTGAATGGATTTCCTTGTCCACTTATTCCACCACTGATACTAAAGCCAAGGCCAGGATTCTTCTCTATCCTCACACAAAACTAGGTTAAAAAGATATGGCAAGATAAGTCGAAGACAACATTAAAGCCTATCTAAACAATGGCATCTGCTTCGCATATATCCCATGTCACCACTACCGGGAGGAGCTGACCCCCTCATAAAGCTGTACTGCACAATATAGTAAAATTCAGTAGAATATTGTTATAAACGGAAGGATTTTCATGATGTTAGCATGCTGCAATGATACCATAATATTCACAGCACTGCATGTATTTTTGCAGATATTTAAAAATTGTATTTTCAAGGAGAAAAAAAAACCCTTTAGACTTGTGAAAGTGCAGTTCACATCATTGGCCAAAGTTTTCGCTTAAACATTGGGATAAATCTGTCAGTGAGGCTTCATCTTGTGCACTTTTGTTCTTCCAGAAGGTGTCACGCGTGCAGTATCCGTGGGTGCTATGCTTGCGACAAACCCAAGGAATAAGTACGCCAAAGCTCAGAGATCTTCAGACCATTGTTGGTATCAGAGCCACAGCCCCGACAGCCTGCACTGAGCACCAACCACTTTTACAAGGGCCTTACTCCAGGAAATAGTGCTGAATCTTATCTTTTTAGTCAGGATGACTCTAAATGGCATTGGGTAGTTGAATATAAAATAAAAATGACTTCAGTGTAGCTTAATGAGTACTCATTGAGCCAGTCTAAGCATGTACTGGAGCCACACAAGCAATTGCTTCTGAATCTCAATGCAATACTCAGGGACTTAATACAGGCAGCTGCTTGTGTGGACTGACCACCAGTTTACACAACAGAAAGGTTTACTAATGACTCTGAACCTTATTCTGCAAGTCAGGTGCCTCAAACTGTTAATTGCAATCATTAAGGCCCAATACAAGGGGGATAGGACCACTTAATGAAGAAACTCATCAGCACCCATGTTGTTAGACTGGGAGCACTGGAGCTAGAGCTGGCCCTTCAGAGGGCTAACCTGGAGCAGGTGACACAAAGCTGAGAAGAGCAGCACCCTACCAAATATGCTGCACTGTTAGTGCTGAACTAGGTTACCGGGGAATTGGCAGAAATTGCAAATTAATTCGGAATGACCCAGTGATGTCAGCTCTGTTCAGGAACTTCAACGCCAAATTGTGTTGCTTGGTCAATCCAAGAAAAAAGTGCTATCAGTCCTTGGTGCCGGGGACGAGGACGGACCTGCTCGCCTGCCTCCAGCCCAGCCATACCTCCCGCACGCTGCCTGGCTCAGCCGCCCTCTCTTACTGCCCTAGGCTCCCTCGTCCTGCTGTCCACCGGGCAGAAAACACCGGAAGGTTTTTGCCAAAGTGTTACTTCATAGCCACACTTTCTCACCTGCTCCTGGTACGCGTCCGTACTTCTCTGACCCTTGGTTTGGATTAAACATCGCCCTGTCTGAGGTGCTCGAGAGCTCTGCGAAGCGGGAATCTGAATAGGCAGTGGTGGCTGAAACTGCTGAATGGTGACTTTGTTCATGTTTCCCTCGTACTGCTGCTCGCGGCTCCGATGCTGTAGGCTTTGTGATCCCATTAAAGTCTGGATATGGCTACCTGCCTGTGGGTAACGTAACCCGTTAGGCCAGAAATTCAGGAAGCTGAAAAGAAGCAATTATTACAACTTACAGAGTCAAGGAAAAGCAAACCTCTTAAATCATATCAGAGGTTTGCCTTTTGACCACAGTTGGAAAAAAAATGTGATTAAAAGCAGCATGGATACGCCCATTGCATTTAATGACGCAAGGAGGTTTAAGGGAAATTAGCCGTATGCAGTATGTTTTAGAAACAGAAAATATTTTTTCATGATATATCCTTCTGCTCAGAATGTTTTGTGAACTGAAAACTTTGAATAAATTGAAGTAGGGTGGATTACTCATCACAGCACACTCTGAAGATACCAGAATGTTTTTGGGTTTTTTTCTGAGGATCATTTGGAATAAGATTTATCACACAAATACAGATATTGGCCAGTATTGTGCACTGTGTCTGGAAAGCATAATCAGATAAATCCCATGCCTTGCCCTAGGAACAAATGTGGCTTTTACAAAACGTAACTAATCAAATGATCACATTTCTATGATAACATCTACTGACTGGAAGCTCTAATATTTTGTAAATATAAGTGAAGCATTGCATTTACATTGACTTGGCCTTTTGATATTTTCAGGAAAAAACGGGTGATTGCTATCGTTGTATCCCCTCCATCCCCACTGCCTTCTGCACCTGCAGCTGGGATCTAAGGGGTGAGGTCTGCTATCGGTATTCTGTTCTTGACATGGTAAAGCTGCATACTTGCTTACTCTTCAGTACGCAGTCTCTATTTAGGCACATGAGTTACATAAATCTTTGCGGCAAATCTTTGCAAAGTACATTCAGTTGAGACAATTTTATACTTTTCATATTTACAGGATTTAGATGTTGCTTATAAATGATCACATGCAACTTAGCCATAAGGGAACGAGCAAAATTCATGCTCTGTTGTATGATCAAATATTATTACCTCCATGAAATATCACACCGTTGCTACTGAGAGTTTTCAGATTATATGCACCCATCAACCAGTGCTATCGTTTGAACAGCCTGAATGTGAAAGAGCATTATGACTATATGTCTCAATCTCCACAGGACTCTGTGGACAAAACAAACCTACTGAAACGACGTTTCACATTAAGTTTACACCAGCCAACGACACAATCACATCTTGTCACGAAGGTCTAATCCTCAGTACTACTGAACCTTTATGGTCCTGGCTGGAAGAGTCACCAATTGTGAGACTGTATTTTAGACAAGACTAGATTTAATACCACAAAAGATCAAAACATTTCTTACCCACTGGCCAATCATCTGGCCTCAGAAGTTATAGCAGCCAGGGCATTAGAATTAATTGCTTGTTGCCATAGCAAAAATCTATCTTAATGGATTTTGAAGATTTCCCTGCAGAACACATCACTAATACAGATGCAGTTGGAGCTACTCGTGTCACTGAAGACAGAATCTCAGCAAGACAGGCAGTGACTGTGAGCAAACCTGATCTGCTCTGCCTGGTTTTTGGCTGACGACACTGGAAGAAAGGGACTAGGAAGAATACAGGTCTGACAGTTCTTCATTTTAGTACAAGGGGGATAGTCTCAAAGTGAGTAATGACAGAGAAATCTCGTACTCCTTGTGCCCGAATCTTCAGCCCCAAACTCTTCTTAAAACACAGCTCAGCTGCATACATGAAAGTGCTTAACGGACTTTGACAAACTTACTCCAAGAATAGCCTGGTGAAGTCGGTCTGTACTGCGAACATCCCACTTCACAGGTCAGAGAGATCTTCAATTCAACCAAGATCAGAAGGGAAGGACAATATTCAAGACAGACTTTTTAGCTATTCATTAACTCCCTAGCAGCAACAAGCCGTTGTGTCATACTCATCATGAGAGGATCCCAAAAAAGCAGAATGTCATAAATGCTGCTGTTTGCCCCAGATATAATCTCACATCCACCACAGCAGTCCACAGCAGATGCATTGTCTACCTCAGAGGAAGGCGTCTATTTCAAATACCAAAAAAAATTGTGCTTTTTCACTGAAAAACCTCAAATCTTCTTTAGCAGGTTAAAACCCCTCTGTATTGAACAGCAGATGTTGGAAATGAAACAGAAAGAGCCTCCAGCCTCACAGTCATGGCTAACAGAAATACTCCCGAGTCAGAAAGGGAGAGAAATAGTGACTCAGGCACTTTCGTATGTCCCAGTTTCGAGGCAGCTGCCTTGCTCCAGTTCCCTATGCTCCTTCCACATCCACCAAGACCATTACAGCCCACACAGGGATCTCCAAGAGGTTGTGTGGCTTCAGCCTTCTCGTGGGCTGCTGCAGACCTGCAGCAGAAGAGGCCAACGAACACAGCCCTACGCATCCCCAAACCTGCGGAGCTCATTCTCTCAGAGGGTCGTCACCCTGCAACCAGGTTCGTTGGCCTGATGTCTGCTCATTGTCCATCTTCATTCTCACTCTTCAACCTCTCTTTTTCATACGGAGTGATCTCCAGGTTCCCTTTTGGTGATCCCCTGCCACACTTCTATCCCCTCCCTTGTTATGGGGGAGCAGCTAACTCAGAATACAACTGATTCAATCAGGCATGTAGCTGACTTCTGTCTTGTTGTTGTGACAGAAGAAGTCATCTTCCAGGAAGCATAAATACTGTAGTCTTCTAACAAATCATGGATTATTCGATTTGAAGATTAAAATATCCAACTTTTCCATATGAGATACAGCCCATAAATTATGGGATGATCACATAAATGATCATACTGAAAATAAAACTGGCATTTAATCTGTGTTCTGAACACCAAAAAGGACAGAAACAACCACTCACACCCCACATATAATTATGTAGTGACTACTGCGTAGTAGTCCCACCCTACCTAACATACCTAACTAGCCATCATACATGTATAGTAGCCCTGTATGCATGGATAATTTAGAAACACATATTACTGCATCTATATACATACTACATCAGCTCGAGTACACAGTCCATCCGTCTATAGTACATGCTCTTCCCCATGGAAGAACAAGTCCCAAGTCTTCTTCCAGTGATTTCCCAAGTTTTGCCATGTAGTGATTCTGCTCCGCAGGAGCCCATTCACATTAGTACTGTTGTGTTAGTTGGAAAACAAAACATATACTACATTTTATATTTACATAATTTAATTGTTTGTTATGTTGAACTTCAATTCTATAGAAGATTTTCTGAGTCTGACTTCAAATTATTGCTGCATTTTAATCCCCAGATGCTGGGAAACTAAGACACTCGAGGTCACTTTCATTGGAGAAGAGATTAGCATTGTCCTAACAGCACATTGCAAACCACCTCCTGAGGATGGTGGGTAAACAATTTTCAGAATTCATTTTCTCACTCCTGTTAATAGACTTTGAAGAGATCGTATCACTACTTCTGTGTATTCACATTGTGGCTTGTGCTGGAGGTGGCTAAGCTGCCTTTCTTGGAAACGGGAATTATTTATTCTGCAGAAAAAAAAATTCTCTATTATGCAGACTGCTTCCCCAATTTCATTTGTATTCTTTATTTAACATCCACCACAAAAGTTAATTATTTTCAGCTCAGTGTCCAATATTTACAGTATAATTAAAGTAGCTGACAACAGATGTAACAATGGACTGCTCCACTGAGTTAAGCAGATTTCAGTATGGTTATGCAATGTTTGTACTTACCACATGTGAGCAGTGAGATACTGAAATATTCAGAACGAAACAGAATCTGCAGTTTCTTATTATAGTACCACTGATGATGCACAAATGCAAGACATAGATTGTTAGATTGTGTGAGTGGACAAATGCAGGTTTTATCCCAATATGCCAGCGAAGATAAGCAGTGACTTCTCTTAAATTTCTTATCCTAGCTTCTTGCATATCAGGAGATAAAGAGACCCTTCGAATAACTCGGCTGTCTGAGCCAACTCCATCAGACAATGCCAGGCTGCCCTCCTCCTCACCCTCCTCGCCTGCCCTAGAGAGTCTCTGGGCTGCTCTAGGTGCAATGGCTTTTGTCTCCCATCTTCAAGCAATTCTCTTGTATATCTATATCTTGTTGCTACTTGTGTATGAAGGCAAGGGCTACTGCTTCTGAAACTGTCTTGGGTAAAAAGATGTGAAGCCAGTAGGGAGATATTTGCCTCATCAGTGCTGACAGTTAATTACAGAAGTTATTAGTGTGCATGTTACGACTTTCATACCACTTTTATTCACTCATAAGACTTTATTTCAGGAATGAGCGGGATCAGTCTCCATACAGATAACAACCAATGTAATTATGACTGCTCACATGTGCAGTTTCACCTTCTAGAGCCGATTGCAAAAGCCGACAGTTTAGTTTGTCAAGATCCTCTGTTCTCCAGCTTTATGATTAAGGCATCTAAAAATGGCAGTTTCTCAGTCGATGAGCAGAGCCAAGTTGGGGCTGGGAGAGAGCAGCCAGTGTTTTCACAGAAACAGGCCAGATCCAAGCACTGTAATTTAATATCTACTGCAACGAGGTACTAGAAATTAGACCCCTTTCTAGTGAGTTTATCAGCAAATGATGTGTGCCTAGGATGTCTCTGCAAAAATGGCTGTGACTGTCCAGACACTGGGCTGGCCTCCATCTCAACACATTGATTTTCTGTCATGAACTGAAGAATGTAATTGAAATGACACATTTGAATGAAGACTTTTCAGGACAAGAGGGAGCTGACAGCTGTCTGATATGTGCAGCAATATCCCTGCCAAGCCCACTGTGCCCATTTCACACACTACTGGCATCTGCATAAATAAACAGAAAAACGGGTAGCAGGCATGAAAGCACCATCCTTAATTCATAATGATTATCGCTTTAAACTTTGAAACAAAACCATGCGTTTCCCAAACCTGTCCTTCTCTTTCCAGTGTTTTGCTGGGGAAAGAAGACAACCGTAGCTATGTCAGCATCTTTGCTCACGCTGCTTACCTTCTTTGTGACGGTCTCTGGCGGCACGTCCCGCCGCCCCAGCGGGTAGGGGTTCCACTGGCTGCTCACAGACACCTCCTCCTGCCCGTTGTCCAGAATGCTGCTCTGCTGTGATGGGGTCTGTTGCAGAAATGGTAGGGCAGCCTTTAGTCACGGGACACATCATGACAGAAAATTCTCTCTTCATATTTATTTCAGTAATCAACCCAGTTAAACTGCAACATGCTATTGCTAAAATGGAAATCCTCTTAAATTTTTACAATATATCGTTAAAGTGTAATCATATTGCTGTGGGAGTCTCTGCGAGCAGGAGATCTTGAAAGATATATAAGAGAAATCATTAGAATAATAAATGATGAGAGAAAAGAGAAAATTAAACGTAACTCATTATTTTCAGTTAGAACTTTTGTACTGGTCATTCAAGCATCGAAAACTTTTTTATTAAGTATTTGCCACCAAGATAAATTATATGCTTGTATTTTCTGAAGAAAAGATTCCTTAATGGCAATATTGAACTTGTGACTACTCTTACCTCGTGCTATGCTCTGAGTATCACTGTGCGCGGTGTGCTTCTCACAGACCTCTCTCTAGGCTATGTCTGGTTTTGCTCTGAGTTAACAGGATACCGCATGTACAGTATTAACCACTAATTAAATGCTTTCCTGAATATGAGTGGACATAACACACATTTGAAGTTTCCTAAATGAGCTTGATACTTTTGATATTATTTTCCACTTTTCTCTCCTTTTATACATGTTTCTTGTCACTTTTCTCCCTGGCTATTTTACTCCTGTTTTCGGTATTTTGAGGACATGTGTACTTTTTCTGTCCCATCCTGATTTTCTGTTATCTGTCTCTGTATTTCTTTACCATAGCTGGAAATTATGCTAACATGGGTATGGCTTTTTGTGTCAGAATTTCCAAAATGTACTACAACATTGCACTACCACTGACAGCTCTTAGCATTATGTAGTGCTTATTCAGTTCTGATTAATGGTAATCTGCAAAGAAAAAAAACCAACAGTCTATTCTTCCCCTCTGTCATTCAAGCAATTTCTTCTTCAGCTTAGATTATAAAAAAAATCAAGAAACTCTTCTTTAGATGACTGAAGAACAAATCAAACTGTTGCTTTGAAATATTAAAGCTGGTAACTGGCCAATTAAGAACTCTTTTTTATGCAAGAAACCCTTTAAAAGTAAATAGGAGTAAGTTGTGATTAAATCATACTCCTCAGAGGTTAAGTGAAAAAATTCAACCCTGATTATTTAAAAGCAAAGAAAACTTCCATTGTAATTCTCTCATCATTCAAGAAGTCTTCCGGAAAGATCAGGAGAGATGTAGGTTCCCTTATATTAAAAACCACTAGAAAAACATTTCCCCTGTTGAGACTTCAAGACTTCCCTGTAGACCTTTCTTTACACACGTTAAAAAACGGCAAAATGGGACCAACCTTAGCACCTTTTCCCTAGGTTATCCCTCACAGCTCCCCAGACACTGCTCCCAGTGCCCGATGCAGCAGCGCTGCTGCTCTCTCGGACAGCCCAACGCTCTCCAACGCCGGCAGATTTGGGCCCAGAGCCGTACGCTGGCGTATGGACATGCAGGAAACCTGACGCTATGGCTCCAAGGCCCTCGCAACGCGTGTTTGTCCGGACAGCAGCCTGCCTGAACGCGCTGCCAGGGGTTAGCCCCTGCCCGAGGCTTCCCAGCCCCGGACACGCTGAGCCCTGTTTGTCCACAGATCAGAGCCCGAGGCAGGGCCCTCATGAATCAGCCATTCTGCCCCATTTGCTGCACGTCCCCCGTAACCCTCATCCAAACAGGGGATACATCGTCTGAGACCAGGGCAGTAAGCAGCTTCTAAAACAAAAAAAGTGCAATTGCAAAAATTTCTGCTCTGAGTTGTAGTAAAAAACAACGAAAAAGAAAGGCCATCGTCTTTGTGATGCGAGTCGTCCCTTCCAGGGTCACCCACAGCCCGCGGTGCCCAAGGCTGCGCCGCAAATCTGCTCACCTCCCTGTGAGGCGAATTTATAAAACATGCTAGGTGCCCTCACCGTGCAGAGACAGAGGGGGTTAGTGGGGCAGCTTCCTAAGAGAACTTCCTAAGAGGTTTTCCTCCTAAGGGATCCCTGTGAATATGCTGATTATTCCTACAGGGAGGTGGTACTGTACACTCCCGAGAATGAAGCGCGCCAAACCATAAACTTTTAAAAGAACTGTGAGATGGATGCCAAAAGTTGAAAGCATTCTTCTGAAAGGTGTTTCTTTTGTCACTGCAGGCAGCGTTGTGCCGTTTTATAAGCGACTGACTAATCTGCAGAGGTGAGTTTGCACTCAAAATGGAGAAAGAAAAAATACAGAGGGTGCTTTCTGCTTTCTCAGTAAATAGGAAAATTCTGTGACAACAGGTTTTTCTTTTCATTTTCTGCAGTAAAATGAATTTGTCTACTTGCAATATTATTCCTTTACAGAGCTCGGACAGACTGCAAACAAACTATATATCTGTTAAGCCTAGGTAAAAAATGAAAAGCAGCAGTTCAAACATTTTATACATGGGGTAGAATTTCTCAAAATAAGTAGTTGCTATACTTGATTTCCTGATCTTTCACTGGACAATTAGACCTCACTCATTACTGTCGTCAATCCAGGCCACAAGAGAGAGGAAGAAGAAGAGGTAAATATTAAGCTGTGGTGGCCTGGCTTCATTAAGAAATACAAATTCTTTAGAACATGTGAAGGAATAAAATTAAACAATACTAAACATTCATATTATTTGTTCAACAACAATTTTTCACTGCTTTCCAAACAGTACAGTGAGAGAATACACCCCCTTCATGCAGTTCAGCGTCACATTTTATATGGGTATGCAGCAATGAAATGCTGGTGAAATAGAAAGCAGAATAATTCATGTAAGACCACACCCCAAAACACGTTACTCTAAACAGTTTCATCAATTTCCTCAGACATCCATATATTAGTATCCATATTCATCTACAGTCTAAAATTCTTAAAGTGGTATGTAACACCTTATTCCTAAATGTGCGTAGAAAAACAGTACCGTTCTTTGGAGTTGATGTCAAATGGACTTCTTTCGAGGACTTGTGACAAGAACTAGTATATACCCAAGTAGACAAACAAATTCTTTGAAAGAAAAAAACAGTATGACCAACACCAGAAAGCTGTCTGCGTCCAAACACACACACATCTACGGTTAAGATTTGACCTCGATGCCATCAACTGAACAACAGAGAAGCACACGCTAACAGCAGGACTTGTTTAAAACCAGGGACAGCTGAACGGGAGGTGCAAATGAAGGGAACAGTGTATGGGAAGTAAGTTACAGCAGGAGAAACCTGACAAGGACCTGTGTGTGTGTGTGTGTGTGCGCACACGTGCATGTGCACGTGAGTGTGCACTTAACCTGTCACGGCTTTTCTTGGAAATCCCATGTACAATGCATATGCCTGTATTAGTAAGCTAAGCAGTGCTAAGGCCTGTCCTCCGGCCAACCAGCACAATCTGGTCATGTTCCTGCCCTTAAATTATCTTATTCTTCTGAAGAGGCTTGGATCTAAACTCTTAAATCAGGCATTGGAACTCTCCTTTGGGAATTTCTGGCCAGTGCTGACTCTGGAGCCCCAGCCAGGGATTGCCTGGGAGGGTGCCAGCTGGCCTGGGCCAAACCGCGCCTGAGGCCAGTCCAGCAATTAACGGCGCAGATGATCACATTTCAGCGCCTGGATCTGTGCTCTGTTACCCTTTAATTACTCACAGAGCTGTTGCTAATTTGTACCAACAGCTACGGATGCTAATGCAGGAAGACCCTTCACGATGCTCATCACTTCTAGCTCTGCAGTAGCCCCCGCCATTACACACAATCCCAGCAGCACGACTGGTCGCATGGGTCTGGCAGCCGGCTCCTGCTGGGATGTCGCGGTGGCCGTACGTCAGGCAGAGTGAGGCCTCAGCATCTCCTCTCTGATCCTCTGAAAACACTTCAGCAATGTCTCTCTCTGGCTTGTCATATGTGCTTTTCCCATCAAACGTTTGTTTGTGTGTAATTTTGTATGTATGTACTTATCACCAATATATTGTTAATAGCTATAAAATAAACAGTAAAAAAATGAGAAAATTATTTTCTTTCTATAGGCATTACTCAACAAAGGTTTAAAATTAGTTTAGGTGTGGTAGGCATGTACTCAAAACTCATCAACTATTACAGCATACCCAATTAATGTTCAAATATTAAAATCCCTGTCTCTTGGAGACTATTTAAATGCATACTAAACATTTCCACATTAATTTTTCTAAGATCAAACAGTCACAAAACAAAGCACGTTCTCCATTTCTGTGCACAGATTAAGTAATTGAGAAAATGATCGCATCAGTCTGTAACACGAGAGCAGAAAGCAGTAATGACAGCCATGTGAGCTACTTAATCCAAAAAGCAAGATTATTGAGTAGGAAAACCGTATTACTATCATCTTTGCTTTTTGGATTGTGTATAGTATAAGCATGAATAATAGGCAAAAGCTAAACCAGGAAAAAAAGCAAGGAGTATTATTAATTTATGTTGTAATGCCGGTATATGCTGGCTATCCCATACTTACTTTCGGTAGAGGTAGCTCTTGAAGCATTTGGTTTTCAAATTTAGATTTAGTCTGCAAGTTTAAAGTCATGCTTCTGCCGGCATGCATTGCTGAAAAACCTCCAGAGTGCAGCATGCCAAGGCTAACTGTGTTGTGTTTGTAAGCAGCGGTCTGAGTAGAGGAAACAACCACGTGACAGGATATGAACACACATGCTCATTGAATTAAGTATCACACATATATGGTTAATTTCACAAAGTTTTAGTTTAAGCAAACAAACAGTACCGAGAAATAAATAGCTTCTTGATGCATGCACTGGGTCACACGGAAGCAAATACATTGCTAGTTATACATAAAATGGATACCATAAAAGACTTCAACGCTGACAGCAGATGAAATATGTTGTTATCTGTAGTTTGAAAATTGTAGTATACAACACGGTACAAGTCTTTATTTTGCAAATATGGCCAAATCTTGGTACGTCTGTGCAACCACGGATGGGCCAGAAAACATGTATCTAGCATAAAAGAGCATCAGAGGCAGAGGAAAAAAAAAAAACCTGTACAAGAAGGCTCTGCACCATCTTTTACGGCCTTTTTCCAGGGGGCCAGCAGCTGCCCACAGGGGACAAGCTTAGGCCGGGCCCAGCACAGCAGGCACCCAGGTCCCGCCCGGCGCGGCATCCCGCTGGCCGCGGGCAGATGGGCAGCCTCTTCTGCTGGAGCAGCTGCTGCTCCGCAGTGCCCAGGCCTTCTCACCAGCAACACCTCCACCAGACAGCCCAGCTTCTGAGAGCTTTCCTTCTCCTATGTTGCAAACGACTAGAAACTAGCTCGCTGGCACCTGCGGGGATTACTGTGAACTCAGTTTAACTAGAGAAAATCACCACTGTCAGCTTTCCATGAGTTCAAGAATTCCTTAAGCAAATATACATGGTAAACTAAGTGTAAAGTTATTTTTTAAACAAACAACATCTGGGAAGTGTTTATTTCCATCAGAAATGTCCCTACTTGGGTTACGCTACCTTGCCTAGGTATTAGGTATTTTCCAATCCGTTTTACACAACACAGGGAAACAGCTGAAGTAAGGAAAAAGCTTCAGCCTTCAAGCCAGTTTTTAAAGTTTACCCATTTGATCCTTAAAAGATATTTTAATATGCATCACATCCGAGCAACTGGAAGGTAATAAATATAGGAACACCAGACTCTTGAGTATCTAGCATAAAATAGGTATATGGACACATTTTGAAACTAACTTATGCATTTCATGACAGTAATTTTTCACAATCACTTCAGATTATGAAGTAAATCCGATTCATGAAGTAGGTCATTAAATAGTCAAGATCATGATTGAAATCATGCACTATAGTACTTGTACTGTTTTGTATAGAAGGCAAATAAGCATAAATTCCTACAGCTAAAAGGAGCAATAATCATATTCCTTGTTAAAAACAGTGGCTGTGTATATCAGTGATATTTTTCAGAGTTAAGAGGCACCTTTAAATCCGCCCCACTAACAGTGATATGAAAGCTAAAATACACTATTTTACTTTTTATCTGTGATGTTTTTCTTTATTTCCTTTTACTGCAAAGATGTATCCAGCATCTTTTAAAGCTCTCAATTCAGTAGTGAAGTGGTGGACTTCAGCAGCACGGTCACAGCTGTTGATAAGGAGAGATTTTGATGGGTTTTACTATTATTTCAGACAGTGCTGCAGCAGTTACTATGTTAGTAACGTGCACCATGGTGCGATACTGGTGCAGAGACTCTTTATCACTCATTTACCCGGGAACCCCTCACTCCGGCTGCTTTTGTGCACCCCCAGACCCCTTTGCGGGCCGGTTCCTCTGACACCAATGCATTTCATTACGGGGAAATCTGGTGGTTACCACTGTACGTGCAAATAGTTTGACATACCGAAACACACAACTAAAGGCATTAATTGCAGAGAAATGCCAAACATACCCTGTCTAACCTTCTAGCTTCTATATGTCTAAGTAGCTGTTGTCTCCAGTCAGCGGGCATTTTAGCACAGCTCTCATTTCCCTTCACAGGGGTAGGCCTTGTCTTTATATCACTGTTATCGGAAGGCTTGTCGCCATAGTTACCCAAGTTATAGTCTGACGGTATCTTTTCCAGCAGAGCTGCCATTGTAGGCCTCGCTGAAACCGGCCTGGTTTGGGACGTGCCGTAACTCTCTGTACTGTAGCTTCTTGCAGACAACGGCCTCCTTTGTGTAAGGTTTTTAACTGGAAAGCTTCCAGTCTGGGCTTTCACTTCTTGGTAGGAAGGGTGCTCGTCTTCGTACCTGCCGTTCCTCTTGAGGAACTGAGACTCAGAGACCGACATGCTGCTCTGGCGCTCCACAGCTCCTCGGTAGGGAGGCCTGCCATACCTGTCGCTCGGGGGCAGCTCATGGGGCTCACTGACTCTCCTGAACATGGACATCTCAGTGGAGCTGGCCAAGGAATCCGCTCTCCTCAAGAAGCCCGGCCGAGACCCCTGACTCACAAAGGGGGCACTGACCGCCTCCTCGTTCACCGACGGCTGGGAGAAGGAGAACATGTGCTCCACGGGGGGGTAGCCGCGGTAGGCCCTCGGGCTGACCAGATCCTGGGGCAGGTTTTTACTCTGCTGGGGAATGTATTCGGGGTTGAGCTGGAAAGGCGGCAGCAGCCTCTTCTCCGCTGTGACCTCCACCGCTCCCTGCGGGTTGAAGCTTTGGTCAAACTGGTAGACTTTCTTCGTGACCGACGACTTCTGCTGCGGCTGCACCTTGACGCTGCCGTAGTCCAGCATGGGGACCGACTGGCTGCGGGACATGCTCAGCATGCCGTGCTCCGGGCCCAGCAGCTTGTCCACCCTCTCGTGGGTTCCTACAGTATCATTACCAGATGCATAGTTTTCTAAGGGTATATTATACACTTTGTATGTACCAATGTCTATCTCGTCAATACTTTGTGACTTCTTAAATTTGTTAGTTTTTAAATCCCTCATCATCGGAGAAAGCCGTTCTGTACTCTTGCTGATCGAAATAACATTTTTGGAAGGATCTGGGCGACAGTGCATATGGGAAAAGACATTTGTGAGACTTCTGTTAGCATTTGAATCGTGATATTCCCACGCTATTCCTGGAGTGAAAGTGCTAGTCATTTCGGGAGACTCTTTGACATGATCTTTCCGCTCAGGCAAAGGGCTGGTGGTGGGGGTGCTTTCCAGTTTGGAAGGAAAAGCTGTCCTGTCTTCAAAAGGACTAGGGGTTCTGGTCCAGTTTTGCCAAGGATTGGGAGGAGGCACTTCAGATTCATGTGTATTTCTGAGCGTCGGCTGCTCCAGCTCCAGGGGAATGCCAACGATCCTGTCTTGTCTAATCAACGGCCTGCGTCCGTGCGCAGATGTGCTTCTAGATTTCGTGCTCAGGAGGGGGTTAGCACTAGGATTCTCCACCGTGCTCTCCTCCGCAACGAACCCTGTGTTATCGTAGTGCGAGCTGTCGTTCCAGCTGTCGGCGAAGGTGTCGCTCAGCGGGCGCCGGTCGGTGCGCTGTGGCAGGTTCCCCGCCGGAGCGGATTCCCGCTGGCTCAGCAATGGCTTTGTTTCAAGGGGCTGTGGAAATGACTGTGCCAGCCTGCAAAAACAAAACAGAATGAAACAAGATAAAATGCCCTCTATTAGAGCACATTAGCAGTCACCAGAAAGACGCAATTATAAAGCAATTTAATATTCTCCCATCTATACTCTGGCTTTGGGATCATACTACGAGATGTGCGTCTTGTGCCGCTGGTTTGGCATGAATAGCTGCAGCAGTTTTTTGCACTGGAGTAGAGATTCTGTAAGTACGTACATAGAGGAACTAAGAAGTCAGTCTAAAGTCCTGGGTGGCTCAATGCCATGTTCACATAAATCCAGCTGAACACATTTTCCTGTTTTGAAAATATTCTTCTGTGAAGGCAATTGAAGATTTTTTTACACTTATGTAATTTTTTTTTTTTTAAAACAAAAAAACCCCAGATTGAGTTAGTGCATGTTCTCACCGAGATTTTATGCATCTCCAGTGAGCAGGCTCCAGCCTCTCTTTAATGGGAACATTAACTGTGTTGGTTTTGGAGGTTGAGGGCAGAGTGAGGCTCAGGACAGCAATAATGAGAGACATGCACTCTGGTGTCTATGCTAAACTACAGCCAGCTGCAGCTCAGGAGCATGCAAAGCAGAATAATTGCAGCTCAATTACTAGGCGCTTTCAACGCATGGTTATAGCATATAGTTGAAAAAACAGCTGTAGAATTACTGACACAGAGTATGAATGGGTGGTCAACTCTGCACAGCCTGGGCTTTGAATAGCTATGTACACTTCTGCAAAACCGGAGCAAGTACGTTGTATTTTTTTAACGGAATACCTTAGCAGATAGCGTATGATCACTTTGACGCATACGACAACATAAGACTAAAGGCAACCAGAAGCTGTGTTAAGAAAGATGATCACACCTGTTCCCCCACAAGGAGTTATTCACTGCTTCTTTAGCCGTTGTCTGCAAGGACCCCATTTTAACATGCGCGTTGGAGGACCCTGAGGAAGCCTGGGAAGGGGAATAGTCTGAGTAAGTGCCTGAGGAAACGCTGTTATTCAGACAATGGATCTTATCTGCTTCAGACTCATCTGTCGATTCTGAAACAAAACACAGCAAACGTTTTCAGGAGGTGGTACTTGAAAACTACACTCCAGAAAAATACATTTTTAAATTGATACTATGGAGATATATATGTACATCTGCACAAATATGCATGTAATATGTTTTAAAATCAGAGTGACGTGTAGAACATCTTAAGTAATGTGTCTATCTGTGTACATTACATATGCTTTCATCTAAGAGGTTGTAAGTCAAGTTAGTACCTTTCTTCTCTTTACCCAGGAGAACAAGTTTGGGTGGGTACAACGGAGTCTCTGGCATGGAAGGACGAAGCTCCCCTATCCTCATCTCACTGGCAGGATGTCCAAAGGCATCCTGAGGAATATAATAATGTAGAGTAAACAGAGGAAACAGAATCCACTTCAAACCATAAGAGACAAACATTTCACAGATTTCTTTTCAAGAATGTGGCAACACAGCAAAACCACACCATACAGGTAGTATCTAATCGTCCTGATTTGTCAGCTGAAAATTCTAATTAGTCCTACATAAACACTTGTAAAAATTATGGTGAGGTGTTCATTCTGAAAACGTGGACAAAACAGATGGAACTTGCAAGATACATCAAGGCCATGTAAACATTTTTGAAGAAGGTCGCAAAAATGCAAGCTGCCAGTAGAAATAAATAAAAATTTAGAATAAACAATTACTTCTTATTTCAGGAGTAAGTATTCCTCATTCATTGATTCATGGCACGAGTCCTTCCATAGATTCAACTCTCCCTATAGCTATATTAATTAAAATGACTTTGTATCTAAAGAGTTTTTTGCTAAATTAAAATGATTAGGCTTTCATAAACTTCTCATGGAGAGTTCAGCAAATCTTGACCCTCAAAGCCTGCCCTGCACAACTGTTTTGCTGTTCTAGCCGGCAAGAGGATATATACTGAAAATAACATGAGTGAAAAAGTGGAAAGACAGTGAGATGTTGTCTTAGAAGAAAGAGATATTTTAAATTAGGACATTTAAATTAGGCTCATAGGATAGCTAGGAGGGAGTGAAGACACAAACAGGGAATCCATGGCACTTCTTATCCCTGGAAGAATGTTCAGAAATGAGAAAGATGCTGACCTGAAGACAAGTGTCTCGGAGAGACGGGGTCGGGGATGACACTTACTGGAGGAGTGATCCTGGTAACCTTGCCTCCAGGAGGGGACTTAAGGAAAGGGAGCCCGAAGAACGAGCAATACAGGAAACCCATTTTGTGAGTGTTGGTGTGTGGGCTCGGGGAAACGTCATGGAAAGGGAACTGGTGGAGACGGGCAAGGCAACACTAGAAAGTCATGCCAATGCCAGTGAAGATTCTTGTGGGGAGGGGTACGAGAAACACGCATCGTCTCAAAGGGAAAAGGCGAGCTGTGATTTCGTAAAGAAGATGGAAGTTGCAGAAGGGGAGTATCTAGTAAAAAAGAGGAAGTTTTGGAGAGATATTAGGAGCAAATCAGTAATTAGTAGTATAAACGAGGAAAGAAATGGCTAGGAGAAATACATTTATGGAGACACTTACACTAATGGAGATGCTATGAGGATCTCTGTACTCTGACATTTTGTTATTAAAGGTACTCCAGTGATTTGACAGAGTGAAGTCAATAAAGGAGAGAGATGTAATATTTACAGAAACAATTTAAAATGGGAGTGCCAAAACCAAAACCACATTACTAGAATGTAAAATGCTACAATATTTTTAAAATTTACTTGCTTTTACTCATAAGGAGAAAACTTTCAGAGGTTTACTCTCCGTTAACTACTTTTTGTAGTAACAGTGGAAACAGAGCTCTGTAGAAGCATTTGCCCTGTGATTTATCCTTGAGGAATATAATCATATTTACACAACAGAGATTTTAATCCTTCTGCATTTGGTGTTCTACTGGAGGTAGTTCCATACCAAAACAGCAAAGAACAAGTATCTTCACAGCCCGTTTAATTAACCCCCTCAGTGCTAACATTTAAGCAAACACAGCTACATACCGATTCTTACGTGGCGTAACATATTCAAGACTTTAAACCACTTTCACATGCAGAGATCCCTTGTTGCGTATGGTATTTCTTACATAACAGTAGTGATGTACATACAGCTTCAAGCTAACAATAGTGCAACAGCATTTTTCCGGTGCAGCACAATCATTTTCTAGTGCGGTGTAACAAACCTATGCAAAACCATTTTTTGAGAAATAAAAACGTGCATAGCATTCGCAGAGCGTGAAATTCTCCACCTTTGAAGCATGGTGCATGTTAAGTTTCTTGTTGTACCTTTGAGCTTTTGGTATGCTCTTCTTTCTCCTTCCTATCTTGGATTTCCAGAGTGGATCTATGAGTGTTGTCTGTATCAGACAGGTGACTCTTTTGGAATTCTTTAATTTCTCTATCTTGAACCTAGAATCCCAATATTGTGCCATGAAACTTCTAAAAGCTTAAAATAAAACTGCCTGCTGTAACATAGAAAGAACCAGCAGTTCCATTTTTGACATAATGATGAACACAGGTTTTTATTTCCGGTACATGACTTTATGAAGTTTTTTTATGTTTAATTTTTTTTTTTTTTCTTTTTAGCCCCTAGGCCAGATACTCCAACAAAAATCAATACACTTTTGAAAGAACTAGTCTGGCATTTGTGAATATGCCATGAAGTGAAATACGTTGTAAAAGACCAAAATCATATTCCATTTAATTCTACCCTGTTTAAGAGGACCTTTCTTTCTTACAAGCCCAAGAACAAAAAGGTCACTAATAGAAAAAAAAGAAGTATTATTAATAGGACCAGTTGCAAGAACAAAGAGAAGAGGTAAATGTAATTGTGCTGTGTCAGAACTTATTCCTCAGGACTAACCAGAGAAAGATAGGTGGAGGACAGAAAAACATGGTCAGCTGTTTCCCAAGAGAAAATACATGGTAAAAACCATTAAAATAACTGGGAAAGAGAAATATCACCAATTATTCATGCTGACAACACAAGAACATTAAATTATAATCTGTAGAGATGGAATTTTTATGATAACCTAACTCTCAGCGTCTGCTTGCAAAGAATATAAAGCCTCCGAGCAGAGCAGACGGGGGCTCTGGGCAGATGCAGCACGTACAAGGCAGAGGAATGCAGGACCATTAATGACGGATCTATTCCAGAGGAACAATTAAATATACATAGAGGGCTGGCAGCACTTCTAAACGGGAGAAGGCTAGGTCAATGTCAAGAATGACAAGCTGGCTACAAAGAAATGGAGAAGCAAAGAAACAAATGGATTGAGGCAAATGTTACTCAGTCCAGATTTTACCAAAACTTTAATGAAAGAATAAAGGAGATCACCAAAAGCGTAGGAACAAGTGCAACCAGATAGCTATCAGAATATCCCTAGATACAAGCAGGACTAACTGAGGCATAGGCTGCTTTCCTGAGAATCACGGTTAGTGGTGCAGTTTTGTAACAAAGCCTCGCTGAGCCACTTCCCCGCGTTACAGCCTCTGCACAGAAAATGGCAGTACTTCCCCCTCTCAGCCCTCCACCTCAGCGGTTTCAAAGTCCTACTAAATAGTCTTCTCCCGACAAAACCACAAACTGAATTCTATCTGAAGCTCAGCATGTGAAAGGCGGTCACAGTTCTGGATATTTTGCTGTCTAAGCTAGCAATTATCATACCGATCTAAATAAAATTCAGTCACCAATCCAGGAATGCAGTGAGAGTCACCCCAAAAGATGGGATTATCCCAGAAGAAAGCAGAGTGGAGGATCTTCCACCGGCTCCTAAATCCTGCCCATATCTGGCTGCAGCGGCAGTTCCAGTAGCCATTAGAACTGACGGTTGTCCCAAACAGGATGTCAACACAAGATATAACTGAAGGAAGGAAAACTTCTGAATGTGGATATCAAATCTGAAGTGGGAGAATGAAGGAAGCCGCAGGCACTTCCTACCAGCAGAAGTGATACAGCAACCAGCACAACATTACAGCACTGATGCATTGAGCTCTCACCTTTTCAGCTCCAACAGGCAATCTCAGACATACGATAGAGCTTTAAGAGTAGACACAAGTACAGGAGGAACAGAGTGGGGCAGAGGTAGTTTTTGGGACTCCACACAGAAAGACATAGATGATCCTGGAAAAAAGCTGTCATCTGCAGGTAGGGCATAATGCTTCTTTCTGCCATGTGTCTCTTTGCCTTGCAGTCTGGTGGACCGGCAAGCAGCTGGAGGAATGCACACATTAACCTTGCCTATTCAGGTGATCAGAAATATGACCGAGGGGATGCATCCAAGAACTGACCAGAACTACCCATCACCAAAGAAACCGAAGTTAGAGATCCCCAGTCTACAAAGATGTATTTTAGAATAAAAATTGCCATTTCCAGTAGTTGAATCTCATATGGCTAAGCCTGTTAGCTGGCATGGTCAGGATTCTGCAAGGATAAACTGCAGATGCTTACCCAACCAGTCGTCAGTCAGGCACAGCAGAGGACAGGGAGACCTTATAACATCATCCTTAGTTGTAAACCATGGAGAGGCGCTTGTCCAGCTCTGTATGTGCTCTTCAGTGTGAGGACAGAAGTCTCAGTGCTGCCCTGAGTTACAACACCCCGACATGTGAATCGCACTCTCTGTGCTCCCCCATCTCTGGAGGAAACAAGCTTCTGTTGCGCTCTCTCTCGATGGAAATGCTCCCAATTGCATACATCTCACCGAGGTTGCTGCCAATAGAGAGAGTCTCAGGCCTTTTGCAAAAAAGCCACTTTGTGGTCCATCAAACATAAACCAGGCCTATGTGTACAAACTCATATACACAGGGCAGAGTGCCATGTCCGGACCTGTAATGCCGCACCTCCTGAGTCCTCATGCAGGTGGGGACGGACAGCCTCAGGGGGTCAAGCGATGTCTTGGACCGATGTTATGGAAGGTAGGCTTTATCTTGGAGGCAGCCCTGAATAATGTCCCTCCTACCCAGACACTTAGATAAGGTCAGGCAGAAGTCAAAGTAACTCAAAATGAACTTTAAAACATTTGACATCCTATCTGAAGAAAGGCCTCTTGTGAGTCGGACCTCCAGATGAGTAAATCATTACCTCCTTTCTCTTTGACAAGAAGGCACCAAGGTCACAACCTCAGTAAAGATCTTCTGCACCATAGAGAAACCAAAAACTCTACAATGAAGATATTTCTGACACCTGGTAAAATATAGGTAATTCTGTTGCAAAGAGCTTATCAAGGTATGGGCTTAAAGCAGATACTAACGGAAGATCTTCAGCATGTATTCCTCTCCCAGTCAGAAGAGACTGTCATTGTGCATCTCATTAGTGGAAAACAGCTCCCACAACAGACACATCAACTGAATCAATTGAAGCCAGGCATCTTGCGGGAAATAAAAGTGTATAAGCCTTCCTGGAAATGCAAGATGATCTTTTAAGACAGTCTCTGAAACTTTAATGAAAAACAAAACAAAAAGAACACACTTCTCCAACCCCATCTATCCAAAAACCAGCCCCCAACCCAAGCCCACACAGTAACAAAGTCAGAAATTAAAAGGATCAAGGTCTTATTTTGACTGAGATGAGATGAAGGTCTCAGAAGATCCAATACAGCTGAGGCAGTATTTTTCTAGCTGTTAGCACTAGTATCTGCATTTGCATTGGATCACTGAAAGAATAACAATCTCTCCTTTTTACACAGTATTAATAAACCTGGTAGGAATAATTGCAGATAATGGAACGCTGTAGGTTGGACTAGAAAACACTTTTTTTTAATCCAAAGCTGAGAGTTATATAGACGTATTTCCAGTTTATTTGTCAATCCATACATATCAAGAATATTAACTATAAAGATCTTAATCGTGGATTTGTGGTATTTCTCATTGTTTCTCATGGAAAGGCTACACAATGCACTAAGTTATCCCAGATGACTTTTTGTCCAAAATGCACATCCTTCAAAAGGACTTAGGACAACAAAGAGGTTTATTTTAATTGATGATTAATTAATTGTTTGCTTATTATAACTGAAGGTGGAGGATGATACAGGGGATTTGAAACGTAGCTTGTTACTCATTTCAGATGCTCCCTTTAATTATTTAGAAAGAGTTTTGTGAAGAGACATGTGTAAATTAATTGCAAGAATACCCAAAAGAGATCATAAAAGAAACCAGCTTAACTGTCCTCTGAGGATGAAAAAGTGGGCATTGCACCTGAAATTAAATTACCTTGTTATTAGAAACTGTCTTCACTCTAAATCTATATCAGAACACACCTGCAATTTCAAACTGTATTTTAACTTGAGGCTTGAGATCATGTCTCCTAATTATCTGAAAAGCAAATGGAGCTTAATTATGTTTTATTTAATGTGTTACAACTGAAATCATGCTAATATTATTCACAAAATCATTCACATTTTTTCTACAGTTTCCCATACCTGTTCTGTATATTCATGCAGGAAGCCAAAGAGAGGAAAATGTATACATCATCCTGCTTTACAGCCATAAAATCTTCCAAGTGTCATTATGAATGACAAGAACACTTTTTTTTCTTTTCTTTAGTTGATGAGATAGTTGTGTTACTAGTCTTGACTAATTACTAGGGAAATTAAAATCTGAAAAAGTTCCACTATCTTCAATATTATAATAACAGAAGATGAAAAATACATCTTCACTGATGTGACGGAAATAGTCATGCACTCACAGCAGTTGCTTGTGGTAGAAAATTAACTAGGAAATTGTAATCACATTATTTAATTGCACTTCAGGAATTACCACTGGGTCTTCAGCAGTTCAACTATTTTTATAGAATGCTTTTTGTGGTGCACATTCACAGAAAAACTAGATATTACTGTTTTTCTGTTGCAAATGTCAATGCATTTTTATCAAAGAATGAAACATAAGAATGAAATTTGCCTTAATATTTTTCCGTATTAGAACACAGTATGTGGTCACACAAGCATTTTGGAGTAACTGTAGTATTTTATGGCATTGTTGCCATTTACTCTTTCCTTATACCTCCGTAATGGAGGCTTCACTGGGCTCTGCATACTCACAGGACCCTCTGTTGTGGCTCAGTTAACTGGGATGTTAGCATTTTAGTTTAACAACTTAACATTTAGTTTAACAGCAACTAAACCAGTACAGCCACCTATTTCTGGAGCCTGCGTCACCAGACACAGCCACAAGACCAAACACCTAATGTCTTTGTCAGACAACATTGAATCAAATTCCAGAGAGATCATATGTGTCTGTTCACAGTGGGGATAATTAAAACCCACAGAAAGCTTTTATGAATATTCAAGTTCAAAAGCTAGATGACACAAAATAAATGGTATGTATTCAGCAACAACAGCAGAAGATGTCAATACTCATGCCACAAGATGCAAGTTGGTTCAAAGGCCAGATTTACGCAGTTAAGAAAGAATTTAATAGGTAAAAAGGAATAATGGGGGAATTTAAGATTTCAGATTTAGATAAAAACATGAATGATTTAACTTAAATATTTTACTTTGAAGTAGTAATTGAAACTGTGCCTAAATTTGATTAAAGTCTTCTGAAGCCATCTTAAATAGAAAAGTTTTAGGTTTTTTTAAGAAATGAAAATGTTTAACTGCAAATAAAACACACAGTATTGACAGAGCAGCTACAGTGACTGCTGAATAAGTAAGAAAAGCCAATCTGTTGTTAAGAATATAGAACATGACTAGCCAGAGATAGGGACATTTCAAGGACAATGAATTTATCATAATGGTTAAATAACAAAGGAGTGAGAAGATAATGTGATCTTTTTTTCCCTTCGTTTATTTCTTTTCAACATGAATACTTGATTAAGATTTTCAAGAACGCTGGTATTCTTGTAGACCTGCCCAAGCTTATACGCTACCAGTACATGCTGCCAGGGTAAGAGATTCCCTTATTTATAAATTGTGCCTGCACAAAGTGAGTTGTTAGTGTGAGTGTTAATGAGTAGATGCCCTCTGAGATCAAGCTTCAGCTATTTGTAACAGCTTTGCACAAGACTGCAATATTTAGGAATTTACCTTGCAGTGACTGTATTCATGTTAGAAGAGACGACTTTGTTACTGTGCATACTGATCTACTTCTGGCACACATCTTAAGGGCTGGATTCTGCAACTCATTCTAAGTCGCTGTTCAGGGGCTGCCTGCTCTAAAGCTCCCTGCAGCATCCCACTCATGATGACTTCATTAACTTTTGACAAGGTTAATTGTCTATCTGCTACATGTAATGTGAATAGAAGAAGCAGAACCTAATGTCATAGTAGGGTCAGAGAGAACAAACTGATTTGTCATTAACATACTGGACGCAGAAAAACACTTACTTAAGTCTGAGATGTAAATCGTGATCAGGTCCGTTCTCCTGCTAATATGCAAGTCTCTCATATCATTAAAATTTAGGAGAGTGCTTGTATGTATCAATATCAAAATTCAGATCTAGGTAGATTTAAAACCAAAAATTCAGTCTGATAAACTCAGTAGTATTGGGAAAAACAGCAACTCAATATAAAACTAAGTTAACTTTATGGAATGAAACTAGAAACTATTAGGTATGAAGTTCACAGCAGAAGCAGAATATCACTTGATGGAGTTATGTTAAAACCCCATCTCGAACTCTTGAGAGGAACAACGATCCTTTTACATTACCTCCACTGAAATCTCCTTTGGTGCCATGGGCCACTTGTGCTCATACTTTTCTTTCACAGTTTGTTCACTGTTCGCAGTTGGTGTTGAGTTCTCAGGCCGTACTCCATGGCTTGTTTTGCCCACCAGATTTTGAACTGATTTTACCATATTCTTTAAATCCTCCGGGTATGGAGTGGGATAACGTTTTAGATTTATTTCAACCTGAACATTCATAAAAAGAATTAAAGCACAAATACAAAATGAAAACAGCATGCAAACTAAAATCATGGTTACAATACTATGGCTAAGTGCAAATTTCTCAAATTTTTAATTAAACTATTTCAGGTAATGTGTTACTTATAGCTATCTTAATGGATTTTTGGACTGAAATTTGCTCTCAGTTACGCTATGTCAACCTATAACGGAATCTTAGTGACATAAAATAATGGATGGGAATGGTTCCCTATAAGCCTATCTTTTACCCTCTGAGAGTATTGTATTTTAATTCTACACTTTGCTTGAGAGTACTGACATATTAAATCACACTTTTTCAAAACAATACTGATGTAAATGCAGAATTAATTTAGCTATGTTCAGTGTACTGAATTAATCTGAATTCTCTATGGCAGCTGAGAACAGAATTTGATCTATTTGCTCTTTGAGACGTATAATGTGCGTACATACACTCAAGTGTATCTTCCTCTTTTCTTATGCAAAACATACAGGAAAACAGACTCAAACCAGTACAGAAAAGTCACCCTAAGTCACGATGAGTAATACTCTAACTGACTGACAGACCTGCAGATTTTCTAGAAAACTCCACATTTTAGGTTTATATTTTTTGTCACTCAGAAGTAGAGAAATACTGTGTTTCCCAAGTCCAAAGTAATCCTAACTTGAAAACAATTCTACAAAACCTCAGGGTTGAGTGAAATGGGAAGAGTGGCTGAGAAGGCTCATGGATGACATCACCCCCCATCATCTGGCAAGACATTACACTTTCAGCAAATTGTTCTGAGGAGACGGTGCAGCAAATAACCACGTCAGGAATGATCCAAGCAGAAAAGATGACATACATGATGTTGACCTCTCCTTATACCTGCCGCACTGTGTTGGAGATGTGTTTTGTCTGCTGAACGTCACACCGCCTCACGAGAAGAGATGCTGAGGAAACTGAAGCGTGCATCCGAACAAAGCACGACCTCGGCAGGGCTGCTCGGGTGGTGCGGAGAGTGTGGGCAGCTTGTAGGTCTGTCCCTTCAGCCCAGCCTGCGGCAGATGCGTCCCGCTCAGCACAGGGCCCTCTCCTCCACAGAGCACCTCCTGCCCTCCCCGCTCCGCCCTTCACGCTGCAGACCTGCCCGATCTCCACCGCCTTTGTCCGAGCTGGGAAAGACGGTTGTGGCTTAAGCCCCAAACTGGGGATTCCCAGGGCGAAGCAGAAAGCAGGTCCTGCCGGGCGGCAAGCCCGCTGCCGAGGGCACGGAACAGCCACCTCACGCAGTCGGCTGGAATGCAGAAGGTGCTGGCTGAGCCTGCTGCTCTCTTTGGGCCTGAATTTGGGGTGGAAAGGCAATAAAATCCTTGGATTATGCAGTAAATGGAGTAAATTTATGGGAGTAAAATTACAGCTCCCAGCGCAAGCTGTGTGTGTCAGGCTAACTGTTCCCGATTCTGAGGCTGTGAAATTTGAAATTACTCCACATTTACCATGTGATAAGCATTTGGAAGCATTTACCACAAAGAAGCTTTTACCTCTTTGTGTTCATCAGGTAAGCAAAGGGAGGTTACTTTTAATAGCTCACTATTATAGCTGTTGGATTTTAAAGTCCTAATGAGTAGGCAAAATGTAATTCTGGATTTGAATGAATATGGTCTGTTGATAGGAATATTTCAGAAGCAAAAGCATGATCGATTTGGAAAATAAAACTATATGAAATACTAGCATACAACTCTGAACCACAATAGAATAAACATTACGGATAATAGATTCTGACATGACTTCAACATAAAACATTAAAATGTATGACTATGATGTCATATGTTAATAAAGAATTTCAACAGAAAAAATAAATTAAGTCTGTAAAGCATTACTAAAGCTCTGGTTGATTTACGGTTGAAAGAAATCGTATTTATAGGTGGCCTAATTAGGCAATTGCTTTTTCACAAAATTCAGACCATGATTTAAGTGTAAGGTCTACAGACAAACACAGCTAAAAGTCAACTCATAGAGCAAATCCTCAAAGAGTACTAGCCCAGGGAAAATTAACTGAAAGACTTTTATGAGGTAGACAAGTCATAGACAGGGATTTCAGCAAGAGTTTCATATCACTGTGAGTATTAATATTAAACAGTAAAAAATACTGGCAGCTGTGGTAGGTGATATCCACCAGAATGCAGATATTTTCATCACTGATTTAGACTTATTATTACGGAGGAAATCTGTACTCCCTGTCGATAAACTTCTTGTATGTTTAATGCTACATCAAAAGTAGCATGATCCTGAAAAGAGAATTTTTGAAGTTCAAAATTCTTCATGGAATAAGTTATTGAAAAATTTCAATGACCAAATCTATTTTAACACACAGTTGGCTGAGAGTTCAGTTTTAACTATGAAAGATACAGAGTGAAAACTAAACTATGTTTTTATAAAACGCTACCAATGTTTGGTGGTTACTGCCTCTTGATAATTTAAGTTAACCTCCAAATTCATTCCATAAAGGTCTGGTGAAACTGCTAAAAACATCATGGTAAAACCTGCCTAAGACCTACTGCAACACACGGATGGAGTGACACACACTAAGTTCTCAAAAGGTTCCAGCAATCAGCTTCTAGTTCATGTGCATGCACCTAAACACAGGCTGGTGAACAGTTCAGTCAGGTAACTCTTTACAACACTTTTATGGTCATTGACATACAGAGGTGAATTGGCATTACTGGGAAAGAGCACGGACAGACCGGAAGGATGCAAATAAGCATTTCTATCTTATTAATAGTAATTGAATTTGAGCTTATTTTTTCACGGCTTGGGCAAAAAAGCTGTTTTCCATGATAGGGAAAAAATCCCCACACACACCTTCAGTGGGAAATCTTTTCCTTTCACAGCCTGGCAAGATTTCCCAGGTTTGAACAGTGTTATTTCTCTACTTTAAGTTTTTACAAACGACAGGTACGTATGGGTATCTGGTGTACACACAGTGAGATACGAGAGAGGAGAGATGCTCTCTTCAAGGTACACAGCCAGGAGGAAATATCTGATCAGCATCTAGCTCCCTGCTTAGCTTTTCACTTAATAATTCTTCTTTATATAAGCAATAACTATAGCATCAGCTCCAAAATTTATTGCTTTGGTCTGATGAGAAGACGTTGGGATCACTGTGGAGGAGAGGAACATTGGATTGTATACGGGAATAGAGGAATCTCATGCAGAAACAGAGTCATGCACCACAACATCAGTTTATACCCACTCTCTATGAGTGAGAATGAGAGGAACGAGAGGGAGAACAGGTAAGAACGAACTTCAGGAAATATATTTTAGCGTTGGACTCTTTCACAACTAAGGAGCCGTGATACAAAGGATAAAGACTGGCTTGACCTTTGGATGGCCAAGCCGAAACGTTTCGGAGAAGTGCAGCCCTGTGGGACATGGACCACCCACAGGGTACAAACCAGTCCTTGCGTGGGCAGCACGACTGGCCGCAGGCTGCCCCCCTCGTGTCCTCCTGCCCCTGGGCTGAGCCTGCAGCTGAGCAAGGCACCCGGCTGGGAACGCAAACTCTGCTCCACAGAGCACGGCTCTGGCAGCAGCAAACAGCCCAGGGAAGCAGCACCGCACCCAGAGCATCCGTCGCATCCTGAACAGCTCCGGTACGGAGCGCCGAGGCCTGGGACCCCACCGCGCAGAGACATCTGCTCGCAGCAGGGGCACAGGCCAGATATTTTTGTTAAGTGCTGTTTCTAGGAAACCTGAGAATGTGGTACTGTGTCTGGGCTGTGTTTGCCTCCCCGTTTTACACACAGCAGATGGCAGCATTTGAGCTGAAGTACAGGAACAGCAGTCAGGGGAGGAAGGATTTATTTGTTTTCTACAATAGTTTACTCAAAGGAAACATTTGTTTCAGTCATTCACAGTGTTCTGAAATATGTTAAAAACAAAATGGCTAAGGAATTCATCTATTACATTTCAATATTTAAAATAATACTCGCAAATAACATATAATATGATTAAATTCTATGATCTTAGAAATTGATGACCTATTTCTCTGCTAATATTTCAATTGTTTTGCACATTTGGACAGCCATATTACCCACAGTTAAAATTCTGATAAGAAGTGGTGGAACAATATAAAACTCTCCCAGATGCTCTGTTTTCCATATATGACCCACAAACCTGCAATTCATCTGGGGTAAAATTTCAGTTTAACCTATTTATCGTGAGGCAAATGTTGCTTTTTCACTTAATTTTCTGTTTTACTAAAGCAGCAGAGCCCATTATCTCTGGTTACGAGAGTCAGATGAAAACTCATAATTGGGAAAAATACTCAAAAGAAAAATCCAAAATTTCCAAGATCTAAATGGAATGTGAAATAGTCATTAATAATAGCATTGTTAATTTTAAAAGTAAAATGTGTTTTAGTTCTCCTCATATGATTTTTGTCTCTGGCAACACATTTTATGTTGGGTATCCTACCACAGTTAAAAATTTGCCGTGTTTAAGTGTTTGATCAAGTTATATTATTCAAGAAATAGACATTTTCATGCCACGTAAATGTAGATAGTCCTGAAAATATCCTTCTAACAATGAACTGATTAAGGGCTCAATTGAAAACTCTGGAATTATATTAATTTCAGATCATTGGGGGAGGACATTCATGTTTTGATCTTCATTTTTGTTAGGTTACAAAATTGATGAGAGATACTCTCTCCATTGCACATTCCTGTGTAACTCCATGAAGTTGCAAAGCTCTCATTGACTTCCACTTGGAGAGAAATATGGAACCCCCTATGTGATCTAAGTATTTCTAAAGAACTAGGTGGTTGGACATTAATTCTAAGTCTCCCAACATTTTGTGTTAATTTTGTCTTTGTGACAAAACACCTGTCACAGTCAGAACCCAACATTAGGGCTAAGGGCCTGAACCGACTTAGGAAATCAATGTTTTGCTGTTTAGACAACAATAGCAAAAGCAGAAATTGGTAATGTGCACTTCAGTGAGAACAGGTATGCTATTCTTCCTCAACTGCTGTACTTGAAACATGATGACAAGTACTTTCTGGGTATTTAGAACACAAAACCAGTTCCAATTCAGGACCTCTAAATTGGACCCTGTCCATAATATGTGAATACTGGAATAAATCAAATAGAACTTACCTTAACTTTCCCTGCATTTTCCTCCTCTTCCTTTTTTTCTTCAAATTCAAAGGCAACAGTCATACGTTGCTGTCTCTGCTCCTCCCATAAAGTAGGGTTAAAACTATCACTGTCTGACTGGAAATCTACAGTTAAATTGCAAACAGCAATGCACAAGAACAGGTAATTAGTGCACCCAGCAGAAGATTGGAAATGATCTAAAAAGACATGTTCTTAGCTGATCCTGTAATCTTGAGTTACTGTTTTAAAACTGTTGAGGGGGGCAACAAGAGTAGCAACTGAGAAACCATTTCAAACAGAGTTTAATATTAAAATGGAAATGAGAGTGACGGGAAGCAACAGGATTTCAGGGCAGATCTGGAGCGGAGGTGGGGGGTATGAAAACTCTCTAACCTAACGTAGCTAGGTGAGGAGCCCAACCCTCAGTTCTGTCAGGCTCTGAGCTCTGAACCTCTCATGTCTAGGAGCTGGCCCACTCGCTCAGACGTGGCCAAGGTCTCTGCAGGTTAGGCTGGCTCTGCCCGACAGCCTGTCCGCACAGCAGCAAGGCATATCCTAGAATTTCTCTCCCATGCACACTCAATTCCCAGGTTCAATTTGTTTATCCAAAGCCATTCTTCTGAAAACAAAAAAGTGTTTAAGAAAACGTAAATCTAGTGGCCTGAGAATAATGGATTTGTAAACAGGATTCCTTCATGTATGACGAAATACAGACTGTTATGTGTGCACCGCTGGCTTTACGTGTCAGAAGAGACACTCACACACAGAACCACGTCTGAAACCCGTCCCTCGCCCTCCCTCTGTTTTCTTCTGCACTGTCTAAACGAGCACTGTTGCTGCCTTTTTGTAGGAACTGCTGATGGTGTTTTACCTTCATCACTGCGGGGTTGCTGCGGAAACATGTAGTTAGTCAGTACTCTTTGCTTTGTTTCTGGGTGAGCCTCAGTTTGCAGTGGAATGAGAGCCTTGGACTGCACAGGAAAGGCAAAAGAAAGAACCGTTAACTCAGAGCAAGTACGTTAACCAAGATGGGATTTTAGCATTTGATAAATAGAAAATACAAGATTAACTAAAATTCTATATGAAAATAAACTTCTCTATGGACTAAAACAAGTACTAATCTGGTGGAAGTGCCTCCTCTCCTATTCCTCACTTCTCTAATTCCTGTAGTTCCTACCAGGATCAACAGAAGAACACTAAATATCAGAAATACTGACCGCATGTTCAGAGTCATACCAGTGCGGAAGCTAAAGGATCAGCGGAACACAGCTGCAACTACACAATTAAAACACCCACATTATGGCTGTGATCTGTTATAAGCAAGGGTTAACGAGGAGTAAATTCACGATAGTGAGGGTAAACCAGGTGCAAGATACTCGAGAATTTACATGGAGGCACTCTGGATATTCAGATGTTACTGTTGTATTTTTTATTATTGCTTTGCTCTACTGGAGCTCTACTGTAGGAGTGACTGTCATGGTTCATAGAATAGAGATTAATCTATGCTATACCGTAGAAAAGTCAAAATGCTGAAAAAATATTGTCTGTTTAAAAGGAAGTGTATGTTCTGTGGCTGGGCTGAGGACTCACGCAATGTTATTTTTTCAATGGAAATTAGAGTGAAAAAACTGAGCATCCTAATTTAACACACTAAAATTTACTCAATTTCCTGTTATCCCTCCCACTTAGTCTCCCCTCCCTTCAGCTTTAAAATTTTTTGCTTAGCTATAAAAGTAAGAAGTACATTTAAGGAGCAGTGCAGTAAGCAGGTACCAACGTAAATCTATTGACTGCAGAGCATTTGGCTGCTTTGCTGTGATGTGAAGGCACGGCTGAACGGTGGCACAGGCCAGGAGTCAGCAGGGATTTTATCTGACATCTTGACAAAGAAATGGCCCCGTCTGCCGTGCCGTGCCCCACGGACAGGCACGGGCTCTGCAACAGCCCGAGCTCTGCAACGAGCGGTTCTGCTACAGCAGTGCTCAGCCCAGGCGCAGGCACACGATCTCCTGCAAACTGGAGGCTGCAGGACCCGAGTCCCTGTGGCTTTTTCACGTGGATAAAAGGATGGATTAACTTCCAGTAGCATGATAATTGGCCCCCAAAGAATTACTGTCAACAACGTCAGTTAAAGAAGTATAATATCTGACCACAGGCATTATTGCAAAGTGAGAAAGATGAGATTACGAGAATTTATTGAGATTATAAAAAACTGTTAGTTATGTCAAACATTTCTAACATTGTACAATTTGAGTTTTTCCTCCATTTAGAGTTAAATTATCAAAGTGCAAAATCATTCTATCCACCAGTCCCAGAAAGGATCGAGACTTATTTTAGCGCTCAGATGCTGTTTCAACTGTTACATTTCTCAGTGTTCGTGTTACATAATTTATTTTAAAATAAAATCCTAAAGAATATATAACAGTGAAACCAAGCCCCTTGGAACAAAGACAGGCATACTTAAATTTAAAAGGAACTTAAATGAGAGTTTTCTCCAAAACAAGACTAAGAGTTCTTCTCCATCTTTTGCATGTTTAAACTCCCACTGACTTTAACGGAGTTTAAAATCTGCAGGAATGGAGGCATGGACAGCAAAAGGGAAAAGGAAGATGGCAAGAATAGAGGCATAGATGGAGTAAAGGATGGGACAAACTAGTAACAAGTCTGATAACAAAGTCTTGCCTCTTGAATTTCTATTTACAAAATATTCTCTTCATATTTTTGGCTTTATTTACTACTTTTGTAAGGATATAGAAACTTAGCTAGATCCAAGTAATAAATACTCCAAAGGATCTTTCCAAGTTACTAAATGACAGCCAGAAGAATATATACCTTGATACCAAAGTACAAAGCTGGACTGGGAGCAAACACTTCTAAAATTCTACTACAATCATGTATTAAACTATAGGTTTCTTTTACAGCCCTTGCTAAGACCCCTAGTTACTAAAGAAAATAGGAATATTGAAAGCCATTACCTGGTTGTCAGAAAGCCACAAAGCTGCAAGTTCTTTAAGCTTAGTAAAAGTGAATGGTAAATTCTTCAGTCTGTAAATGATAATATTGGACCAACATGAATCCTTCATTTTCACAATAATTTGTTTCAAAGATTTCTATGTAGCATGTTTATCTTGATCATATTGAAACTGCTATAATTTCATATCTTCATTTTCTCTCACTTTTTACTAAAATACAACATTTTATTAAGAGCATTCCACATTAAGAGTGACATTTGGAATCTAAAACTACTGACATCATACCCGAAAGGTACCAAGGCAATACCAGTATTTTGCCTTGGCTATAATTAACCAAAGTTACAGCTTATAACACAGAAAACAGAAAAAATCTTGGCCCAGGGGGACTGACAGCAAAGACCCGACAATTTTCAGTGTAGCTAACAGAAATCCTTTTATTGGACATTTACGTTTTGGAACAGAAATACTCTAAGATTATTGAAAATCCATTTTTGCAGAAATGTTAGGAAAAAGATTAAATATTCATAGTGAACCTAAATGACAAAATTAAACAAAACAGTAAAAAACTTATCATTTTAATTATACATGTAAACAGATTTCCTAAAAGTGATCTGAATGTGAGAATGGGGAAATGATGACTAGATACTTCTGGAAACTTCATTCATGTTTTTCCCACTAACTAATTCTAAACATACTATTTTTACTTTTCAGTCTGTACCAACACGAGGGGGCTGTCCTAACCACATACGGATATTCTCCCATCTTTGTGTTACAGAAGGTTAAGGAGCAGGAGGACTGTGGGAAGAAACGGACTGAGCAAAGGACTGTCTACAAAGACAAAACCTAAATGTGATTTAACAAAAAGCACAGAGGAAAAGCCCCTTTCTGACAGAGTCAGACAATCCCACGCTGTAGAAAGAAAGGCTCTTACAGATACTGTCACTCACTCCTCAGATGAAGATGGGCAATCCACCATCAGGTACTCCACCTGCACGGCATCATCAGGAGAATCCTTTGCCCCTCTACCAGCAAAGAACTAACAATACTCCTACAGTCATCTTCCAATTAAAAATCTATCTGTATTTCTGGGAGATAATCACCTTCCAAGCTTTTGTACCATTGCCTCTATGCAGTGCTTTGAAAGTGCATCCACTATGGAGTTATTTTAGATGTGTTTTTGCCAAAAAGTCATGACCATTACAAATCCTGTTATTTCAGAAAGCAGTGTGTACTTACTGCCAGCAACGCATTTTAAAGATTTTATAAGAATACCTTTTATAGATAAGTCATTTTTAATGTAAGTGAAATAAATTGACATGAATGTATACACATACATAGTGTGCTATGACATAATCTCCAATTAAATGCCTGTAGAGATTAGAGAGGTTTTACATGGGTGTGCATGTTCAAATCTTGATTTAATGCCATAAGAACGTAAGGAGTGCCTAAACTACCCGAAGTTTAGTTTTCATTCCTGTCTTATCACAAAAGGAATACTGCAGTGCGGAATACCGCAGTATGTAACATTCTCTGTAAATTAAGGTTACCAGGTTCAAGCTTTAATAGTTAACATAAAGATTCTTGAATAGCATTTATCCAGATTGTTTAATTCAGAGCTTTTTTTCTGCATAAAAAGAGAACTGTTGCTTTTCAAATGATACCTTTATTTCTTTACACTTTAGGATTCAGTACCTGTAACGTGAGTTTCAAAACTATACAGAAACCTTTGTCTCCAGAGGGTTACCGGTGATGTTTCCAATGCACTCAAACTGAGAAGTGCGTATCAAAGGGAGAAGCAAAATTGGTAAGCATGCTTCAGAAATCATGCGTGGCAAGAGGATCTCCAAGCTGCTTTTCCATTTCCATATTCAAACAAAACACAGAATTCTTTATTTTTAATTCTTCTTTGCCAGTAAGCCTGGATACCTGTTTTTAAACATCTGAAAAGGTCCAATTTTAAGGAGTCTTTGAAAGAAAACATCTCAAATTAGAAATCAAAGAATGGAGGCACCCAGAATCATTATTGGTTTTCGAAAATTTTCAACCAAGATAAGTCTCAGCCTCTTTTTCTAATTCCAAGTTGGTTTTGCAAGTTTAAGACTTAAATTGTATACTGTAGGAACATCTCTCCTTCATCTATACTAACAGTGCACATGCAAACACTCTGACTTTCACGAACAACTGAATTACGAAGTGATTTTGCATTATACCCACTTTCAAAGCAAGGCCCATGATAATTGTCACATACACTATACTAGTTTAACCATGAAAGGTAAATACATAAATGTTTTTCTAGCTTCATCAGTCAAAGTAAGGGTATACTACAGCTACAAAGGATCTCAAATATTAGTTATGCATGGATGCAGGTTGATTACTTTATACATACTATAGGCCAGATCCTATTCGGTATAAATCAGCATAACTCTGCTGGTTTCAAAGAACTAACTCACGTCATCCTCAGTAAAGGATCTGGCCTCCTCTGGAGAGAAAACTGTTCGTCAGTAATTGAAAAAAGTGATTAGTCTGCACTGCTCCCATTGATCTAATACATGACCGCAATCAGATAACAGTACAAAGACATGTAAAGTTTATGGCTGGGCTATTCAACGGAGAGCTTTTCTTTTATGCTTAAACGCTGAAACTTCTCACTAGACAGTTTGGAAAATTACATATGTAATTGTTTTTATCAATCTAAGGGAAAATACATTCATAATACTAGATGAAACTTTAATTGGTGCAGAGATAGTTAATTAAGAAGACGGCCAAATTAAATTAACTTACAATACAAAGGCAAACTATGCTGTACCAAAATGACGACTTCTCACTGTGGACGGTATTTTATTCAGCCTGAATAAATAACCTCTGCGCAAGGCCGTTTCTCTACTGGAAGGGGCTGTTTGACTGTTTCAGAGCAGCTGTAGCCCAGGAGTCAGGCCTGGGACTAGGACTAACAGAAATACAGCCATAGGCCCTGCACCCGTTCCTTCAGGCATCAGCTGAATGGCACCCAGAGACATGAAGTCTGTGGGAAAACAATCTCTCTGGATCTTGTGAACAATTACCCTAGTTCTAACACTTGGCCGCCACTCGATGTGCGGGCTTTCTTGCATGAGCCACAGTTTCATTCCTGTGCAACTTTTTAATCACTAATATCTTCAATTTGCAATCTCTTAAACCAATTCGTAAAAACAGCTGAAAATGTGATAGCCAAATTAAAGAAAAACCTTAATGCTGTGGAGATTATCTGTATTCATATTAATTAGGTTAAATTACAGATAACATCGTGTATGCCATTGGTAAATGTAAAAGTTTAAAAGCTATTAATAAAAATATTACTTTTAAGGTAAACCCTGAAGCACTAACTGATTTTCCAGGAAAACAACTATCCACAGTAATAGTTTCAAAAAGCATGAAATGCATGTGTTCTTTTAATAGTGTTTAATTTTCACATAGAAAATTTTTTCTTATGAGAAAAAAAGGAGAAGAAAATTCCCCTAAATTCCTTAGGTGAATAAAGCTAAACTAAACAAAAAACAGCATACTTTTTGAAATGACACCCCTAAATATTAAACTGTTGTACCATATGACTTCACAACCTCAAAGAAGCTACAGGTCAGTGCGTTACGTCATTCTGGAATGAGGACTATACAATAATTCCATTATTAATCCTAGATTTAATCTTCTGCATAATTTGTTAAGTTCTTAAGGACTAAATCCTTTAAGAATAAGCTAATGAACATTATTCATGGAACACAAGAAAAGCAAAGAAAATTTCATTGATACTGCTTAAATATAAAAAACATCAAATGTTAATATTTGAGGGGTCTTATGGGGTGAAGGTTGCTTTTATTGCAAACCTCCTGACAGACATAATTTTAACTTTTCTTTCTTGACAATAATTGTTTTTCTTATAGCTTTGTAAAGTAAAATAACCCACTATGTATTTGTACTAAGTACTAAATTTTGGTTTTGTTATGCCCTAAGTAAGCATGCTCAGAGTATGGGAAGGGTTTCCACTGATTATGAGTTTGAGAAATACAACATACAAAGGGCTTACCAAACACCTAGGGGAATACTTTCTAGATTCATCAATGTATATATTACACTTCAGTGACATTCAGAAAGAATTTTCAAATAATAACCCAAACATGAAAAATTAATGTCAAAACATGTTGAAATTTAATCATAACAAGCAGCATTACCAGTCAGTCAGTCAAGCCCAAAGATAGTTGCTATTTGTGACAGTTCTCCAAGGTAACTCTCAGCAAATTCATACTAATAGCGTTTTTAGAATGTGAAAGTTTAAAAGAGCATGATTCATATTAACCCATCAACATACTATTCACAAAACTACTTGTGGATATACATGGCCAGAAGTAATTACCTCTGTGGCAATGAGCAACATTGTATAATTAAATATCTAACCAGAAGAAGAAAACGTACATCAGGGAGCAGTCTTTTTTTTTTTTGAATGGATCATGTAATCTTAGGACCTTTTTTCATCTAACTTCTGTGGGTGAGATTCAGAGCAGTAATTGAGTTCTGACCCCAGGACAGAAGCAGAAGCAGTGCAAATACAGAAAGGTGATGATTCTTTCAGCTCTTCTTTAAGAACAATCTAAAACTAAAAGAAAGGTTACTTACCAGTAACCGATGCTCTTTGAGAAGTGTAGCCCAAATGTACATTCTAACAATTCTACCTCTCAATCACAGGACTCATACCTGGAAGGACTCTGAGGAGAGAGGAGAAGCAGATGGAAGACAAATGTATATGTGGACTACACATTGTGAAGAACACCGGTTACTGGTAAGACATCTTTTTTTCTTTGAATGAATCCCATGTGTACTCTTAACAGTGACTGAATCCAAGCAGCTACCCCCAATGACTCATTACATGGTGGAGGTCTCAATATCTTTCATGCAAGTAGTAATTGCACAACTACTTTATCAAATGCTGCATTGGTTCTTGAAGCACTGGAGACAGTGTTATGCCCGGCAAAGGCACGGATGAACCTCCAGGTAGGTGCATTGCAAGTATCTGGAGTCAAAGCTTTCCCAACTGCAGAGGGTGAAGCCACCTAAGCTCTGGTCAGTTGCCCACTAGCCCTCAT